CAGTGACGTCAGCAGCTGTGCCCCGGGATGGAGGCAGGAGGCAGCTCCCCTGGATGAGTGCTTGTGATATGCTGGTTCCTTAGGAAGAACGCTACCATAGAAGTTCCATTACTGGGGGATAAAAATTCGTGGTTACTAAGTATACTTTCTTGCGGTTCTGACACACCAGCTCCATTTTACTATCATATTTCAAATTGGAGGACAAGTGAGGACAGTGCTTCTATTGGATCATCTGTTTCCATGAAGTGAATGGGTATGGGTTTGCTCATCCTTCCAGGAAGACCAGGAACTGGCCAGGGTCTGACCTCCCTCCCCCTCCCCTGCCCTCTCTTCTTTTTCTCTCCTTTTCCCCCATCATTTTCATATTTTTGTACCTTTTTCCCACCTTTAATAGCAGTCTACACTCAGTGCAGAAAGCACATTATAGTCATAGACATTGACATCAAATCACTCAAATTGTCCCTACTCACAGGTGCCTGATATATCTGGTATCTATTATTTTAGGCCCAAGCATTGGTGTGTGATGTATGTACTGGGTCACGTAGCACATAAGTGTCAGTGAGGACCAGCTGGACACCGATATCTGCAGCTGAAGATGGCGGCCTGCACGGGTGTGTCTGCGTCCAGCATTTCTCCACTCAGCTGAAATGCAGTTACTAGTGCAGGTGAAGAAGAGCCCACAGCATCAGAGGACAAGTCTCAACCGAGGCAGCATCACCAGCAGACCAGAGAACTGAGGATTGAGGTAGGGTAGAGATCAGGGTGGGGAGGCCCCATGCAGAATGGGCCTCAGGGTGCTGGCTCCTTTGGTTAGGGAGGCCCAGTAGGGATGCTGGTGCAGATTTGAGCAGTGTCATCCTGAGGATGGGTGTGCTCTGTCTACTTCAGAGGGACCTGCTTGCAGGAGCAAGTGTACAGCTCCCTGCTCAGGATTACTGAGTGCAAAGGGATGTCAAGCCATGACACTGTTTCAGATTCTTAGGTGGAGGCCAACCATGTGTACCTGTGTGAAGGCCACATGGCTGTGCACTGTCTCATGACTTGAGGGCCAGGTGTGTTCAGATCTCGAGAATCCAGGCTGGTTCTCTTGCTGATCTGCCAGTGTCCAGAGGGTCTTTTTCCTGAGCGGCAGAATCCCAGCTGTGACCTTGGAGGGTCCTGTCAGGTGGCCAGAGACCTTCTCTACCCAGGGTCTGCTAGTGAGAGGACCTTAAATACATTAATTTCCTTTTTTGTACAAACTAACCTCCTCATTTCAGCACTTCTGTCTTCATTATTGAAAGCCAAGGTTGGAGGTGTGCGTTTTTAATGACTTGCCATCCTGCACCCATCCAGTTGTCATCAGCCAGTGAAATACCTGCTTCTGGGCTGCACAGATAAACCACAGGAAGCTGCACGCCCCTCCCTCTATCTGTGTAAGGAGCACACAGGCGAAGGAATTAAAATGCACAGCTTAATTGGATTTTTGCAGTGTCCTGCTGCCAACAGAGCTCCCCTGACTTTATTATGGCATTCAAATGCCAGGTTTAATTCCAGGCATGTGGTTTGGGAGGGGGAGGTATTCCTAGGAAACAGTTCATTAAGAGGCACATCCAGTCTCACACCTCCTCTGAGTGTGGAGTGGGGCTGTCTGTGCTGGGGGTGATTTGATTAAGAGTGGAGTGAATGGCTGGGATCATGGGGTGTGCAGAGGCTGGGCTCTGACTCTCCCTGACTTGCTCAGGATTTCTGAGTGGGCTGAAAATATGGTGCCGAGTACTGGGATTTCTTTGAACACCTTCACACCTACCCAAGCCAGGAAGGATGGGAGCTGGGGACTCAGATGCCCTGGCTAGGAGAGGTGAAGCTGCACCTCAACCTGGGGCTGCTGAACACCCTGCAGCCTGAGTCCTGAGGTGTGGGCCTTGGGAATGAATGGGTGGTTGGATTAGTGCCTGTGAATGGGGACCTTCTGTCTGACATGGCCGTGGGGGTTGGCTCTGAGGGGCGGCCTGGGCCTGAACCTGTTCTGGGAGGGTGTGAGGGCCCCTCCAGGGTGAAGAGCAGGGACTGTCACTGAGATTCAACTGCAGTCTCTGCTAGATTCCTGAACATTCTGGGCTTGGGAGAAGCCAGGTGATGTGAGCACTGCACCTACCTGGGACAGGCTGACTAGAACCCATCTCTAGCCCCTAAAACAGTGAAGGTTCTGGACCCAAAGCCCATGGTGAACTTCCTCAGAGCTGGAATTAGGTTTGGGAAATCTGTGAGCGAATCTGCCTTTGAGACAGCCCAATGTTTCCTTTCTCCTTTTGATAGTCAGAAGAGGGGTATGCGTTGTTTGACAGCTCCAGTTGCTTGTGTCCTGGATACCCCACACCCACTGTCAGATGACCCGTGTGGGTTTAACTTTGAACCAAGCAACAGAATTGAATTTGGACCAATCACAAGCCTGCTGCTGCTATCTAAGCAGCATTTTTCTCACACCTCATTCAGCAAGACTCCCTGTTATACATTGAATCACCTGGACTGCAGCAAAGGCCCTGTGCAAACAAAGTCTCATTCAGTATAGACAGACTGGTGGCTGGGAAAAGAGCAACAAACACTAGGGGCCATTAGACTTGAAGAGTCCAGGGACCAGCAGCTGATGAAGACCAGCAACCAGTAAGCAGAGTCACAGACCACCAGCAGTAATTGGCAGCTAAGGGTCTAGAGATGCAATGCTAAGGCCTGAGGCCATTGGTGCTCAAAGCCTGAAAATGCTAGCAGAGTTTTGCTTTGCTAATTCATGATTTCTGTCTGAATTGAGTAAAAGAACCCTCAATCCATTGGTGTCATCTCCAAAGAAAGAGTTTTCTAGGGACAGGTGCCTCTGAGTGGGCACCACAGGCTGAGGCTGCCCTGTACCTGCTCCCACCCCTGCCATGTGGTCCTCAGCACAGGCTTTCTTCACACATGTGAGTGGGGCCTTTTAGGACCAGGGCTGTAGGGCTCATCCTGACAGCACAGTGCAGTGGAGTCCATCATGCACATGCTTTAGTCTACACAGAAGTGCAGACAATCACACACATGCATATGCTTGCACACACATGCACACACAGAGACACACATGCTAGGCCTACATAGATATGCAGAAACTTAGACATATGCACACACATACACAGAGACAAACACACACTCTCATGCCCACACAGGCATATGTATGTACACACACACTCAGACACATGTACATATGCACACAGACACACATACTCAGATATAGACACATGCGTGATCGTGTACACATAGACACAAAAACTCACACACACAAACATATACATGCATGCACACACAGACATACACTGTCATGCCCATGTAGAGATACAGAGACACACACAGACAGCGCCTATGCACAGCTGCACAGCTGTCTTGAGTTCAGTGCCCCTAGCAGCTTCCTCTGTCTGTTCTATGCAAGGCTAACAGAAAACTCCAAGTCTGGTGTCAATGACACTTAGCTGACTGGGCAAACTGCACACTCATGACCAAATATTTATTCTTCAGATTAGAGCAGATTAAAATCACTCCCATGCTGAATGCATTCTGGAAATTCCACAACTCCCAAACAGAAGGGGCCTCCCAGGGTGAGCACCTGGGCTGGCGGCCCACCGCCTTCTAGCTCTACTGCCCATTTCTCCTGTGGGTCTCCACAGGAACAGAATAGACACTGGCTGTGGAAAACAGTATTCAAGTGGAAAAAAGCGTAGGGACCCAGTCTCTGTGACGTACACACGGCTCTCCAAGGATGAGTCAAGGACTCATGAAAGGGGATTCCTCAAAAGCTTTGCATGGGGCAAGCAGGTGAACAACCTCTGAACTTGGAGTGGATGGGGAACTCCTAAATATGCTGAAGAAACTCTAACTATAAAATAGGAGACCAGTGAAACTGAACACATTAAAAAAAAAAACCCTGTCAAGTAAAAATAACCTTAAGAATGAAAGAGAAGCAGAGAACAAGAAGGTAGTCAGTAGGGACGCAGCAAGCAAAGTTGAGCCACAGGGCCACGTCAAGAGCATCTGCGTATCAGTAAGAGTGGAGAGATCCAGAGAAAGGCTGGACACAGGTTGGGACACAGATGGGGTGCATGTCACAGCTGCAGTGAGGTGCTGTCACACACCAGACACTGGCCAGCACTGCCCCACCTCTCAGGCCTGGCAGTCGGTCACGGCTCTCAGGCTGAACGGGCTGTGGGGCCTCCTTCCCAGTGCTGGTGGGAGGATGGGGCTTCCCAGGTGGCTCAGCAGGGCGATGGGCGTGCAGAAAGCCCCTGGCCCCTGCTCTTTCCATGTCCTCGACCGCCCTTCCGAGGAAGCCATCCAACTGGAGACCAGCAGGTGGGTGAGTCACACCCTGCGTCTACTTGTGGGTACCCTCGCTCCCAGCTGTGGGGGTGGGAGGGCATGAGGAAGTGGTTCTGTGAGTCAGAGGCCCCCACGGAGCTCATTTTCCAGGACACTGGCTCCCTGTGTCCCCAAAAGAAGGCCAAGCAGGGAGAGGTGTGGGACTGTGGCTTCTGACTGTCCCCTGAGAGTGTGAACGTATAGAGACAGATATACAGACACACATAGAGACAGACATACTGCAACACATAGAGACACACAGACACGCACACACAGAGGCAGACATACAGAGGCACACAGACTTCCACGGGGACAGACAAACATGCAGACACCCACAGGCACACGGAGATGCAGACATACTGCCAGAAAAAATCCACACACCTCAATTAAAAGTAAATTATTTGTTGATGGGGATCAGCAGCTGCCGTCTCCAAAGCGAGCACACTGAGGACGAAAGGGCCAAGACTCTGAAGGGTCCTTAGCCCTGACCCCCCTGGAGCATGGGCCAGGGCCACCCTGGCTGGCCTGAGACTGGCCTGGATACTATCGGGTGCCCAGCAGGTCACAGCCAGGGCTGCCCTGGAGCAGCCTCTCTAGGACACTCTGAATGACAGGAAGTGACAGCTGGTGACAAGCAGTGGGAACACTGCAGCTGCAGAGGGGCTGTCCCTGGTGGCCACGCTGCCCACCGCTCCCCTCTCTGCTCATCAACATGGCATATTTGCTCCTGGGCACTGCCCAGCCCCAGGCCTGGTGACTCGGGAAAAAGAACACTGGCGGAAAAACAAGTTAATGAGCTTCTTCATGGGGAAGAAGCCATGCCAGGGAGCGGGTAGCTGTCTGGAGCCAGGCCAGGTGGTGCCAGGTGGCCTGACTGCTGGCCTCAGCCCTCCACTGGACAGGATGCCCAGGATCCAGTGCATACAGAAGCAGGGCCAGCTATGAAAACATGCAGGTGTGTGCAGATGCTCGTGTGCCTGAGGGTGTGTGTGTGTCGGTGGGTGGTGTGTTTGCATGTGGATATGTGTGATTGTGAGTGTGCAACACGTGGGAGGGTGGGCATGTCCCGTGTTTGGGCAGCATGATCCTGCAGGGGTAGCTGTGTGTTCTACCTCATCTGTGGGCAGTGATTGCTGCCTCTGTCTCTCTCAGGACCCCACAGAGAGGGAAGAGGACTTGCTGTGTCCCGTCAAGCCTCAGCAGGCACAGAGGCCAAAGGTCACGCTCAGGACAAATGTTGCCCCGGCAGGGTTTTTGCTTTCTCAAGGCCACTTCTAAATTGGGAGGAGGGCTGTAATTTCAGTCCTGCCCTCCCTCAAGCCCTCAGCCTCCCTTGTCTGCTGGTCCACAGCAGCACCCTGGGACAGCAGAGTGGGGTGGGGTACAGGCCAGCACTACTCCACGCCTGGCTGTGCCCTTTCTTCTGAACCCAGCCCGGAGATCTGTCTTCCCTCTTAGGCTGCTTCTGAGGCATTATCCTTTTCTACATCCTCATGCAAAAGTAAGCCCCTAAATGATTTCAGGTACTCCAGCTCAGAGACAAGTTCTAAAATAGTGTAGGGATTAGCACCCCATCCCATCTGAGGCCGTAAGTGAGTCCTGTGGCTCTGAGTGCATTTTCTCCTCGCAGACTTGCCAACGTGAAACCCACAGGGAACGGGAAATCGCTGGCCTGTTTCAGCGTGCAGATACTTCCTCCGATGGGCTTGCTTCCTTTTAGAAGGGTCCAAATGGAGCTCGGCACAGATTCCTGACTGCCTCTGCCTCCCCCGACCCCATCTGGATTGAATGTGTAAATCTTCTCTCTTGCCTTTATTGATCAAGGCCAAAATTACAAGTATAAATTACCATGATGGGAAACAAGATGCTCGAAAAGTGATAAGCGGGGCAGCTGTGGTGTTAGTAGTGCCGGTAGGGGTGGAGGGACTGATCCAGGAACACTCTGCTCCTTAGAGGCTCCCATGCTCCACAGGTCTCTCCTGGCAGGGACACTGCTGAGTTCCAGTGCTTGCCTGATAAGGTCCAGGCAGCAGATCCAGGCTTAACTATCTCTGTGCACAGCTCTTCTTGGCAGACTGCTGGCAAGAAAGCCCCGGATGCAGAAGGGTTGGCATCAGTGTCTCTGGCAGGTCTCTCATTCCGCTCCTGGTCTGGAAGGGCCAGTCAGACCTAACACCAAGGTACTGGCAGGGCCAGCCCCTCTGGAGACTCCAAGCCTCTGTCCCTGACCTCCTCTAGCTTTGAGTGCAATGAGCAGCCCCTACTTTTCCATTTTGCTTCTCTTGTCCTCTTGCCTCTTCTTGGGGTGTCTTGCTTCCCTTATGAAAGCACCCATCAGATCAACAGAGTAACCTCCCTTCTCAGGTTGCTTATCTCCAGAGAGCCTCTTGCATGAAGGGTGATATATCCACAGGCTGTCGGTGAATATTTGGGGCCCAGATTTAGCTGGCCGTACCCACAATTGGTGGAAACCATGCTTGGACACTGACCAGAGCCTGGAGCGGGGCCTCCCTGCTACTGCCCCCTAAGGCCCTGGCCTGGACTGGGGCCGTGTGTATGCATGCGTGTGTGTGTGTGTGCGTGTGTGTGTGTGTCTAAGCCAGGGTGGCATGCCCACACAGCCCACCAGAGAGGCTCTGGGCTGTGGTGGGGAAGCTGGGCTTAGCCAGTCTCAGAGTAGACCCACCAGCCATCCTGCAGGGGAGGAGGTGAGGTCCGGGCTATTCTCTGCTGCAGCCAGGACAGGACCTCCTCCTACACCTGGTGCCTTTCCTGCCTCCTCTTCTTTCTCTGTGAGTTGGGGCTGGAGTGGCAGCTGCCTCCAGCGGGCTGGCTGGTAGAGGTTGCCCTTGAGGTTTTCCGGGTGGACTCAGGGCCAGCACTTCCCGGCAGGTCCTGGGAGGCTGTAGCTGGCTTGTGGCTTCCTGGTATGCAGTGCAGGCCACCCAGAGGCCTGTCCAGGGGGTTGGGCAAGGCCTTCTCTCTATACCTGCGGACAGCAGCTCACCCTCCTGGGCAGAGCCTTTCCCACATTGGCGTCAATCTCTTTTGATCCACACCTGGGGGCCAAGGGTCAGTAGGAATGAAGCATCAAGACACCAGCTCTTCAAAGGAGGACTTAGCACACATAGCGGACACAGCTATGTGTTTGAGAGGACAGAAGGCCAGAGAGGCCACAGGACAGGCACACAGCAGCAAGGGAGCCTGTGAGGGTGCACCATTTTTTTCACCCCTGCCTGACCCCCAAGGGCCCTGTGGCTCCCCCTCAGAGTCCTGCGCACCTGGGGATGGCAGATGCTTCAGAATTCTTGTGGCTGCAGGTGAGACCTTACTGGCTGTCCCCTGGGAAGGACTTTAGCAGAAGGTCCAGAGCTGTGCTATTACTTTTCAAAGTGAATGTTTCTGAGGCCCCACAGGGACTCCGGCCTTACTAAGTTCTGATCTGCCTCCTTTGGGTCTTCCTGGTCACTCCCTAGTAGGTCCCCAGAGGAGGTGGTCCTGCAGTTCCTGAGGAGTCAGCAATGATTCACACGGAGCCAGGGTGTGCCCCCCCGGCTGGCAGGAGCAGCTAGGGGAAGGCAGGGGCTGGGCCTATGAGTTAAAGGGTCAGTTCTCAGCCTGGGCTTGTTTCCAGCTCTCGAGAGAGCCATTAGTAAGTACATTTGGCCACTGGCCAGGTGCAGCCCTAAAATGGCCCGGCCTTTCAGTCCCCAGCTGTGGGAAGAGCTGACTTAGCATTCCATGGCTAGGATGCTGGACCTTGACATCTCCCCCTTGCTAAACATGGTAGAGTAATAACAGAGCTCTTCTCCAGGCAGATCTAAGCAATCACTGGGTGAAACAGGCCGTGGGCACAGGGGCAGGCGTTGGGGAGATCAAGGGGGCACAGCAGCACTGATGCAAAAGCAGAATAAGATATCACTCTTTGCTGAAGTCTCCTTGCATGCGACTGGCTGCCAAATTTCATGTCAGCGACCACAGCCTGCACTTCTGAATAGCAAGACTCAGTGAGAGCCTTTGATTCTTCATGAAAAGGTTTGTCAGAGGAAAAAAAATTAAGGGGAGTGTAATTTGAAGCTGTCTATATCAAGTAGGAGTCTGTAGAGTTCAACTGAGCTTATGTCCCACCTTTCAAAGCTTCTGTGTTTTTAGCAGGCTCTGGGACCATAGAAGGAGAAAATGAAGAGGGGGTGGAGTGTACCCTGTCATCTCTGCTCATGTGGACCAACTAGCTCTCCTGGTGGACACAGCAGGCCCCACTGAGATGTTGTGTTGAGCTGCTTTGGCTTTGGCTCCCTCGTTGAAGAACACGCGATGATTGTCCGCCTGCTCTGCACTCTGCCCGGTGCCAGAGCACCATCAACCAGTGAATCAGTGTAGACCCAGGAATGCTGTGGCCTGGTGGGGAACGTAGCAAGCCTGCCTTAGGTTGGCTTCGAGATAATGAGGCTGTTTTGGATCCATATCATCTATATGAATTTCTGAATTATCTTGTCAATGGATGGAAAAAAGCCTGCTGGGATTTTACTGAATGACTCGATCAATTTGCGAAGAATTGATATCCTAATAATATAAGTCCTCTACCAAATGCATGATCTATTTCTTTCTTGTTTTCTCTCGGCAATGCTTTATAGCTTTTGATATAGAAGATTTTGCAGAGTATGTTAAATTCATCCCTAAGTTTTTGATGTTTTGATACTATTATAAATGGTATTTTAAAGTTAATTAATTTTGCAATACTAGAAATTGAAGCCAGAGTCTCATGCACTCAAGGCAAGTGTCTTACCAATGAGCCACATCACCAGCCCTTCTACTTTAAATAGTGTACAGAAATACAACTGATTCTCATATATTGAGTTGGTGTCTTTTGATGTTGCAAAATTCTCTACTGGCTCAAGTTGTTTTTCAGTAGAGTCCTTAGGACTTTGTATTTCTATCACCTGAAAGTTAGTATGATGTCACTCTTTCCTTTTCAGCATGTATAGCTTTATTTCCTTCCTTGTCTCTTTGCACTGAAACCTCCAGTCCAATGGTGAAAAGAAGAGGTAAGAACAAAAAAAGAAATCCATCCCCTTCTCCCCATCCTGGGGGAGTCATCAGTCCTTCCTGGTTTCTTCTAATGCTAGCTGCAGAATAGAAGCCTGCCCTTACAGTGCTTGTCCTTATCTGAAGGCCACCAGGAAGAGCTCTGAGTGGCTGCCAGGTGGTAGGGACAGCGAGTTCATGGGTGACTCTGTGGAGCCACACACAGCCAGAAGAGAAAACAAGATCCTCAGGCCCAGGGTCCAAATAAGATTTCTGCCTCTCTCTACTCTGCCAGGGGTGCCCAAGTGCCAGCAGTAGCCCTACACTCCCTAGTTCCTCTCCATTTCACAATCCACTGAAGCTTGGCAGTCCCTGCCTCATGTCATGCCTAACAGGGAAACTTTTCCAGGAGGCAGAGGAGCTAGGAACTAGGCCCCGAATGCCTGGGGTAATGGGTGCTGATCTTATACGCAGCATCCTTACTCCATCTCTTCCATTTCTGCATGTGGCAGGAGACAGCTGATGGGGCCCCCAGTGCAGAGAATTCTGAGTAAGTAGATGGAAGAGACATGGTTCATTACACATTTACAGCTGCACAGGGGAGGTCAAGGCTGGCCAGGCAAGATACCATTTCCTAATGACATGGGTGAAGTCAACATGTGTTCTATGTGCTCCTCTCTGCCTCCCTGACTCCGCTTTGCCACCCTGGTCATGAGCTAGATGAAGAGGAGACACACTGGTTTGTTGTTGGTTTACTTTTTCTTTGATGAATAGCCTGGAGCTACTGCTGGTAAGACCACCATAAGCATGGAAGAGTCATCATGTTTCGCTAAGTGGCCAGTCTGGGCGCAGCCTCTGGAGGATTTGGGAAGACTCAAAGCTATTTCTTCTCAAGCCAAGTACAGGGTCATCCCATGTTTGCTGATGCTCCGCCAGGCTGAGAAAATGAAAGCATTTTGCAAAATCACTTTGATAAGGCACAGAAAAGCAAAATGTACAAACAGTCCACGTTAGTTATGTCCCAGTTACAGTCAGGGAACATAAACTCAGCAAGCCATAAAGCATGAAAGACACCAGCTGCTGGGGCCGCTTCATCCTCTGGGGATGGTAGAGGCCTCCTTGGATGAAGGGGAATTTGTTTCTTTCCCTTCTGCCATGTCAGTGACAAAAGCTGAAGTCTGGATGGATAACCTATCTAACTGATGGACCGTGGGACTAATCAGGTCTGAGCTGGAAGCAAACATGGACACAGGGTGACTAGGAACACCAGCGTCCTGGCTGGCATGGTGTGGGCATCTGGCTTTGGACATTCCTGCCTCGCTGGGTTCCCCGAGAGTCTATTCTAATCCCCAGAGTCTCTGTGGCTAATGGGGCCTCTGCTGTATGACAACATGGCAGGACTGACTTCGCTGGGAACTTCTGGAAGGGGTGTTGTTTGGTGATGTCCCACGAGACTGACGTGGATTCTGAGATGCTGACTCTTTCTGGAGCCTGACGGGGAGCTGCCTCCCTCAGAAATGACAGCTGAGGGTGGAGAGTCAGGGCACCTCCAGTCTGCCAGGCACGTGGGTGTGGATGGTGGTTCCCAGGAGGCAAGAGGGTACTGTGTAGGTGATGAGTCCATGAGGAAAGGAGGTGCTTTCACTTGATCCTCACAATGGTGGGTCAGTCACCTCTGACAGGTTAATGACTTGAAGACTCTTGATCCACTTGGGAGTCCTCCAGAAACACAGGTAGAAAGGCAAAGACAAACAACAGTGGCCTCTAGTGGCGGTTGGAAGTGTGTGCTTAGGGCACACTCAGCCAGCCTGGGACCTGAGGAGACCTGTCTGGATATGAGGGCTGGAGGCTGCACACCCGCAGCTCCTCCTGTGGCAGCAGCAGGGGGCACAGGGTTCGGGACACCAGGGTGGGGAATGGTCAACCCTGGCCAAGAGATAGCCGTGGCCAGCTGGCTGCAATGATGGTTTGGGCTAAGGGGTTCTTCCTGAGGTAGGGGGTCCAGCTGCGCAGAGACAGGACCGGGATTGCCAGGACCGGGATTGCCAGCCTCCTCACAGGGCTGCTTTCCAGCTGAAATGGATTCAAGGTGGAAAACTCTGGCATCTGCAGAGCATCCAGCAAGCGTGTTCCTATGGAAGGGCACAGGAGGGGCAGCAGGAAGGATGGTGAGATGCAGCCAACAGCTGCATCCATGCTGCCAGCTGACCACAGGGGATGGTGGACATGACCCAGATGGCCTTGACAGCATGCCCTGACCTGGGAGGTAGGAATAGCCACGCTAATTTCAGGCCTAAGGGGCATAGAGGGGGGCTGGGGGTCTGCAAGCCTGGATGTGAGTCTGTCTTTGGCTCTGACTCAGTATTTTCCCAGCCAACCACGGTGTCCAGCTCCAGAGACCCCCACCCTGTGGTCCTGCTGTGAACCCTGCACGGCTGTCTTTAGCCCCACTGACCAGAATTCCCACCCTTGGCTTCCCGTGTGACTTCCTTTCCAATGTGGTTGTCAATGGGTGGGGCGTCTTTTTCCTGATTTCCTGTGAGAGGTTTCAGAACTCTCTCCAAGTCTGGTGGGTGGATTTCCCTTGGGGTCTTTTTAAGTGAGCCTGTGTTTCCCCACAGCTCAGGCCCGTGGTCCAGCACCAAGCTGTGGAGCCAGGTTTTTTTCTCTGTCCAGGGATGTCTGTAATTGGTATGTGAGGCCCTGACACCTGAAATGTGTCCCGCCTCACTGGCTGACAGTTCTGGGGCTCAGTTTTCTGCTGTCTAAGGAGCTGCCCTTCTAGTTAGAGCCCCCAGCAATTCTAACTCTGACCGGCAAGAGGGCTGAGCCCGTTCCTATCACTGTGCTGACCACAGTTTCCTGGTCATGCAGAAGGGAGCCTTCCGTTCCTTTCAGTTGGGGAATTTTACCAACAGTTTCCTTGCTTGGGCTCCAGAGCAGCTTGACTACCAGGGCTGTCATTTTAACTTTCCAAGCCTGGGCTTCTTTATGTAAAGAAAGAAGTGAACAATTATTCCCATCTCCGGCTTTGCTGCTTTATGAAGCCAGGTTGTGAATATGTAGCCTCGGCCTTTGGCCAAAACCACACTGGCTTCTTTCCTCCTTGGGATTATTTCTGAGTATGTCTTCCCTCCTTCCCCAGGGTGGGGCTCCAAGGACCCCATCTCCTGCCTCTTCACAACAACACATCTTTCCAGCTTAGAGGCTGGCATTCCTAACTTCATGCAATAAATCTGTATCAGTACAGATTCAGACTCGTCGTGGTATAATTTATGATAACCCTTGATGACTCTATGCCACATTCCAACCTTGCACCACCATCAGCCTCCCAAGTATGGTTTCCCCGGATGAGGCTCCAGGTCCTGCTGTATCAGCGCTAGAAGCCACACAAACCTTTAAGTCACTTGGAGGAGTCGCATATTGGTCGTTGGTCTGTGCCGGGTGAACTCCACAGGTTTCTCCAGAGAAACAGAACCTATACGGCTTGGGTAGAGATGAGAGGAGAATTATTGTGGGAATCAGCTCTCAGGAATTCTAGAGGACTCATGTGGAGACCCAGGAAAGCTGGGTGAGATTCAGGACCGGAGAACTGGCAGCTCCACTGGTGTGGGTCTTGGGTTCTGGTGCCAGAGGCAGAAGATGGACCTCATCCCTCCAGTACACAGAGGGACTTGCCTCCATTTTTGTTCTATCCACTCTCAATAGACTAGAGGGTGCCCACCTGCTTAGGGAGGGCAATTGTCTTCACCTTCACAGATGTCCAGAAGTGATGTGCCACCAGCAGTAGGGGCAGCCTCAGTGTAGTAACGATGACGTATAAGATTAGCCATCACACCAGGCAGTATCCTGGGGCTTGAGAACATGAGCTGAGGTAGTGCTGACTTGCTAGACCTCAATGCTTGCTGCCCTTGGGTGTAAAGTAGACCCTCACCGGTCATGCAGGATGTCACCAAGTTGGTGCACATCAAGGAAGGGTCTGCTTAGCTCAGGGGTGTGCCCAGTCTTGAACTGAATCCAAACAGGAACTGAGGGTCACTAGGATGACCCTCAACCCCACCTGTGTGGCCCATGACCACATTAGTTCCGAATACAAAAGAAATCGGGCTGAGTATCCAGGAAGTGAGGTCATTCTAGGAATATAATTTAAAGTTTCTTTAGGGAATCATGAAAATCACACCAAAAAACTCAGACACTTTCCTTAAAGAAGATAGATATTGCCAACCAGAGACTATTCCAGAACTTCAGCTTTTCTGTTCACTGTCTAGTCACCGAGAGAGGCAGACAGAGGAGGCTGGAGGTAACCTTCTTGGGGAAAGAAGTAGACACAGGAGGGCCAAGGGGACTTGAGGAGGACCCGTGTTGTTGCTTCCTGGGTGGTGGCATGGTGGGGGAGGCCTCTGGGCAGTGGCCTGGCTGACAGATAGCAGTGTCTTGCAACCTCTCACTGACTTGGGGGGAAGGCAGAGTGCTGGTTCTGGCCATGTTTGTTTGAGACCCTGCTTTTCCTTATCACCACTTTATTTCCCAAGTCAGGAACTTAACTGACCTCTCAATTGTCACAAGCGCTGAGCCTGTAATGGAGGGAAAAAGCCAGCACTGGTGATGGTCCTTCACTCAAAAAAAACACGAATTATGATGCTGGCTGGAAATACGGAAAGGAAGAAAGGCATGACCTGCCCTTCAGTCTCATAGCTGTCAGGGGCCGGTCAGGCTTCAGACAGCCCCAAAGCTGGTCCCATCCCACAGCACATTTGTTCAGAGCGCAAGCAGGGCCCTGGGATGGTAGATTACACAGGCTCTGGGGACGGGGCAGGAGCAGATGGACTGA